TTTCTTGTTTGATCTTTGGGTTGATGTGTGCTCTTGATTTTTAATCTAATCCTTTGTTGATCGTTCATTGACGTGCAACTTCACTTATATGTGTGTGTGTGTGTGTGTTGTCGGTGCCCAAAACATATTTGTCTAGTGTTATAAAGTTTTTCCCACGTTGAAATTCGAAATATAATTGATCAGTAATCTGTTTATACGTGTCAGAATTAGCTTATTAGGACGCGAGTAAAAAATATCTACGGTACGAAAAAGGGGATCAACAATATGTATCAATTTCTGTAACTAAATATGAAATATGTACCTTACTTCATGTGCCATGAAAACCTCCATCTCTAAAAGGATCTCACACATGCACAATGACGTTTAAGAATAAGTTATTTAGAGTGAATTGAGCCATGAATTTTATTTACTATGTCTAAATACTAAAGATTAGTAAGTGCCTAAGATTTAGGTGAAAACTTACTAAACTTTCATAATATTTCTATTAATATTCGACGCATTAACATCACCTTAAAAATAATACAGTCCGTGCATTGCACGGGCGTAAGACTAGTCCATCCAAAAAGTCATTGATAATTTATAGTCAATAAAAAAATGCTATCACCTCCTTTCTCCTCACCAAGTTAGTATTGGACTCACTTAAAACTCCCCATAAATACGATTTTCATAATGAATTATTGTATTAATGATTCTAAACGTTGAACTCTGAGATTAGAATCTACATAAGAATATAGTTTTCTATGATGCACCAGTTAATATTGTGAATGTTATAACATAACATTATGTGGTGTATTAAAAAACTCGTGTTTTAAAAGGACAAAAATGTTTCCATTCTAAAGATGAGATCTAGCCATAAGGACGAACCCATTCCGATTATGAGGGCAAGCAAACAAAAAATGGATGAGTACATTTGGATTAGATGAAAGCATCTCGATGAGGTTAAGAACATCTAGATAATAAGCATGTTCAAAAGTGACTCACACTCGCATAGGCAAAGGACTACTAAATGTAGTATGCTTGGGTGGATGAGGATAAACTTATGGGCAAAACACAGTAAGTTTGACAGCCCTTTCACATGGGTGTGGGGCTCGCGATTGTGGGCCCCACGCCCCATATGAGAGGGCTGTCAAAATGTAAGTGTAAAAATGCTATAAGTGTAGCATTTTTCAAGTAATAATATGAACCTACCTACGGCAGCGTAGATTTTATTATTACTACATAGTTAATCTAGAAATTCAGAAAAGTGACACGTTAATTTGACTAAGTACGAAACCGTTACAGAGACAGCATGATCGTAGCTCTATGTCATGGATGAGAACTGTCTTATCTTCATTTTTTTCCTTTTCATCTATTCGCACTTGCATTTAATCAACCGAGAGTGCCATGTTTTGTCATCCAAGTAGCTTTCCATATTTTGTATTGAAGGCATGGCAGCTAGATCCTTCAAATTATGTTTGAGACTATGTTTAAAAAAAAAAAATCAAAATCACCCGGTTGAAAAGAATGCTTGTCAAGTTCAGATAAGGGAATGCTCCCCCCAACCATTAAAGGAAATGCTCGACGAAGGGAGGGAGATGCGGCAAGGGAAGGAAAACGCTTTCGAAGAATGAAAAACTTCTCAAATCCTTGTAAGAATGGTTTCATATAGAAAATGGCTCCATTTTAATTTTAATACATTTTTCTCTTTTTTTTTTCAATCACATATTCTTCAATAAAATAATATTACACGTAAATTCAAAATTTTTCCTTCTTTTTAACCGCATATTCTTCAAAAAATTATTATTTCAAAATACACGTTTCTCAAAATCTCATTAAGCCCATGTGGTTACTCCAACTTAAGTGAAAATAACGAAATATTTTCTAAATTTAAATCGTAGTTGCGTTCCACTCTATAACTTTTGTTGCATCCCCAAAATGTGCAAAGAAGTCACACAGGCCTTCGATTGCATGCCATGTGGTTACTCCAACTTAAGTGAAGTAGTTGACCTATGGACCTCGCGTTCAGCATACCTTGTCATCTCGCATGGTGTTCGCAGGGATCGTTACTAGGTTTGAGCCCTGTGTACCCATCGAATCCCTCATCACTGGGTACCCATAGACAAGCTTTGTTAGGTTCGACCGGTTAAGGCCTTCGAATGAGGTATGACAACTTGGACAATTGTTCTGTGGTTTATGGTATAAGATTGGACGCATCTTGAAATGAAATATTCTACAAGGTAGAATGTCTTCTCGACTCTTAAAAACCTAAATAGGTCTTCGAGGATCGAGGAAAATTCTAAAAATCAACATGTACGAGATAATACAACAAATTAAGCTCATGTTCAATGGCTGTTAAAATCAGATTTTTAGTAAATTTTTATAAAAGTTAATGAATTTTGTAACTAAAAAATTGTAAATTCCATAAAATATATATTTTTAAATTAATTGTTGACTTAATTTAAATTTTAATCTCTACCAAATGTAGGCTAAATGACAAATGCATAAAAAGAAAGTATAACACAAGTTTAAAAGTTTATATCGAATCTCTTTGAACTTTTTTAGAGTTTGAAAATGTATGTAATAAATGAATAGTGATATTCAACACCAATGGTATTAAAGTACTAATCTAAGTGATCACATTTCATATGTCCAATTAAACGAATTACTTGACTTTGCATTTAAATAATTATATCATTTAATGTAATATAGCAGCAACTTAGACTTGTACTAAATATCAATGTGACTGAATACCATTATTCATAAGAAATACACCAGACTTTTTGTCCATTTTATACCCCAATTTTCTGAAATCCATTATTCTCAAATTCATTTTCAACTACACATCTATAATATATTAAATATCATATCAATTGAAAATCATTTTTAGACGATTTTAACATTACTACAATTCAATTATTTCAATAGTACCTTACTTTTCGTTTCTCAATATGCAATAACTATTACAAAATCTATGTCATGTATGAATTTTATGTTATTAATTTTCAATTAATTAACATTCAAATTAATTTAGATTCATTGAATCTTGACTTGGTAAATCTTAATCTATATAAATCTAGGGTTGTTATAAATGAATTTATTTATATTCATATATTTAGAAATTTTAATGAATGTTTAAGTTCATGTATTAACAATTAATTCTTATATACCAAATATAGGCCTTGTATGGGAGGGATTAAAATCGGATCAAAATTGAAAATATAGTCGTTATTGTTGACTTTTATTAGACGAGTGGGACCCAATAACGGCCATATTTTCAATTTTAATTGATTTTTAATCCCTCCCGAACAAGGCCATAGTATAAAAATGTTGCTCATTTATAGTGTTTCATCATCACAAAAAATTTGAATTATAGAAATTGAGTTTTGAGTATACAAATTTTTTCTCTTCAATTTTTATCCTAAATTTTATTTTATTTTTTAATTCGTTTGAAACTTATCAAATCCTCCCAAAAATTGATATCAAATATTACTTTAACAACACTTATACAACATTTCAGAATAATGTGCAATACACGTTCAACTTTGATTAGTTTCATAAGACTCATAATTTGTTTTTAACTTTTTAACCATATATTTTATCGATTTTTAACAAAATTTACTAAATATATGATTTTTAGGAAAACCAAGCATTTAGATCTATGAAATGTTTATCTTTAAAAATCTAAAATTGTAAATACACACATTACAAATATCCCAAGGCTTCAAAAATTAAGTCTTCTTTGAGCCTCATTAAAAAAAAAAAAAAAAAAAGACATTATTAAAAAAAAGTTTAAAAAAATTACAATCCCACATTTAAAAATAAAAATGATTTTACAAGTACTATCGATTTAATTTATTGGAACTGAAATTTAGCCCCTGTTTGGGCTCTATTATAATTTTAATATATTTTTCTCTCTCTTCTTTTTAACCACACATTTTTCAATAAAATAATGTTACACGTAAATTCAAAAATTTTCCTTATTTTTTTAACCACACATTTTCCATCAATATACTATCGTGTGCATAGCAAGTATCCAAAACCCACATTTTAATGTTATTTGATGTATTAATTAGATATTTTTATTGCTTTATACATCAAATAATAAAGTGACACGTATATGTCATGTAGAAAAATACAATAGTCTTGTGAATAGCATTATCCGAGTTGGCAAAGGACGGACATTGCTGGACTTGCAACCTCAACGTAGGGAGTTCGATTCTTGGATGGAGCAACTGAGTGATGTAATACTCAATTGTGGGTGGAGCAGTTTGGTGATGTAATGTCCATGGAGGAAGGCTCCCTTGGGGCCAGGAGTATAAAGGGTGCACAGACCCTGGTCAACGTGGGCATATCCCGCGGTTAACCTCCACCCATCACTGAGGGGCCGGGGATGGGTGGTCCAGGACATAGTNAACCTCCATCCATCACTGAGGAGGCGGGAATGGATGATCCAGGACATAGTCTAGTGTAAGATGTAATACCTGAGTATAAAAAAAAAATAAAAATACAATAGTCTTGTGAATAGCATTACTCCGTCCAAAAAGACAATCTCGCCCTTCATCTTCCATCAAATTTTCCGATTCCTGCCACTTCTTGATCAATCTCTTCCTTCTGACTAATTCAACTTCATCAAATAGATCATAATTCAAATCAGCAAATTATTCATCTTCTTCACCGTTCCTCGACTAATCAGAGCAGCAACGAGAAATTTGAATCCGAAAGCATCAATTTCCATCTCATACAAACCAAATGTAATTGTTCAAAATCAAAAAAACTTTTACTAGGATTCAAACCAAATCGAAATAAATTAACTAAAATAGGGCATACAATTGAATACTAATCCATCAGAAACACACTGCCACAACAGGGCTTCTTTGTTTTTCTTCTTAATAATCCACTGAAATTGTCATCAGCAACATCGAGATCGAGCCCGATCTCCAAATTATCTATTTGATTCGATTTTTTGTCACATTCGACGTGAGCCTGCAAATATATGTGTACGTATTCGATAATTTTGACGCTCAGATCTTGACAATTTTGGCTGCTTTTACCAACGGATTTTCCTTCGCGATGGCCTCTCGTCCGGCAGCCTTGTAGTCGTAGCTACAATCGTGCCGGTCGGAGTACCGATGCTCGGCGCAGAAAAGTTCACCGCAACGGCATCGGAATCCGGTCAATCCTACCTTCCTTTGGCAACCGGAGCACCGACTTACCTGCCTCTTCACTACCAGGCCATCCGTTAAATCCGATTTCTTCGGATCTTCACTCCTCTCCTCTACATCCCTAACCAGAGAAAACCTGAAAACGGAGCTAGAACTGCAAGATTTCTCGTCAAATAAAAAAGTTCTTTGCTGAGCTCCACCTCCCGATGTGGCAACCACTGAAGAAGCGGCGGTGGCGGAGGATGAAGCAGTTGTCACGTCAAATAAAAAAGTTCTTTGCTGAGCTCCACCTCCCGATGTGGCAACCACTGAAGAAGCGTCGGTGGCTGAGGATGAAGCAGTTGTCGTGGTGTTGAAACACTTTTGGCATAAATTATTTGTGGCGGAATTTCCTGCAACACCACATTTGACACAAAGTGACATCGTTTCAGGTACAACCCTGAACTCCGTCTCTTCCTTTTCAGTTTTGTGCGCCATTTTCACTGTTATTCTAATTAAGCTTTACTTCAACAATTCAATAACAATATGTGTATATATATATAGATAAAACGGAGAATTGTAGAGAGATGGATTTGAAGCTGGTTTCCGTGGGGGATTTGAAGGGGAAAAGGTCGGCTACGGTGAAGGAATAATGACCACAAAACAGGCAATTTGTGCCGTGTGAATAGACAAAAAAGCCCTCCGCTAGTGGGGTGTTTCTGGATCCGCTATGACGTTTTATTGTGGGATATTTTTAGGGAAGATTAACGGTATCAAATGTTTTATATTGTTACATACTTGACTCAAATGTTTCATTTTTATCATTCACTGTATCAAATTTTTAAAAAATTCCAACTCGATGTCTAAATGGATGAAAATCGTTAGATCATATGTTAATTGACCTAATGTCAATGATTTGACCAAATTTGTAACATTTTTTTAAATGATAAAAGGATAATTTTACATTTTTCATTAAAAAAATTAAAATAATACAATTAAATCAAAAACCAAAAAAAAAAAAGAATTAACCAGGCTGTAGAGCAAAAGCTCTCACATGAGGTAGGTCCTCATTAACCCCGCCCCCCAAATGTTTAAACACCCACCCCCACCTCACACTTGAACTGTCAGGCCGCACGGATAAAAGAAAAATACTATTCATCTTCTCCACTCACCTCTCACACACCCCACCTACCCCAAAACCAAAAATCACCCACTTCCAACCACCCACCTATCCACACTGCCTACCGCTGCCAACACCACCACCATCTCTGCAATAAAAGCCATGGTTAGCAACCTCTATGGATTGCAATCAAATTCAAAGTCCAAATGAAGGGAAAAAATTCATTAAGCTGCCCAAACCAAAACAATTTAACAAAGTTAACACAAAATTCCTCAAGCTGTCAAATCCGAACACGGACGTATAATTGACGTTTGCAAACAATTTCAGAGAAAATGACGTGAACAAGATCAAATATGATTTGCTGGGCTTGAGTTTGGCCGTTTGGGAGTGGCCACAGAATCTTGTCTAGTGAATACTTGAAGAAAATTCATTTAGAAATCATGGGAAATCGCAATAGTAATGAGTGGATTTTTTCTACCAATTATGAGACCGTACTGTTCGGTGATGTCCAAGTTTTCCCTTTTGCTCCTTAGGATGTTTCCAATCAAATTTGTGCAAAACATTTGCTATCAAAAATTCAATTAACCCCGTAGCAAAACTAATCCCTGGGCAGATTCTCCGACCATTCCCAAATGGAATATATATTCACGCAAAACCACTTTTCGTAGATCCCAATTGCAGTCCCATTTTTTGCTTGTCTAATTGTAGCGGTAGTCTACGATCCCGACTATGGCAGGAGAGAAGGAGGTGACGGCAGAACTTTTTGATTTTGATTTTTCTTTTTTATATAATTCTTTTATTTGAAAAATGTAAAATTACCCTTTTACCTCTTATTTTCAAAATTTGGTCAAATCCTTGACTTTACGTCAATTAACAAATGAATTAACGGTTTCCATTCATTTAAACTCCCGGTATGAATATTTTAAAGATTTGGTACCGTATGTAATACAAATAAAATGTTTGGGCCATGTCTTCAAAATAATAAAATGTTTGATATTGTCGCTGCAATTTTCTCATATTTTTTCCACCGACTTAAAAATTGGTTAGTTCAACATGTTAATATAATTATAGATAAAATAATTATTCGAAGAATATCAAATTATCAAATACGTAGCTTTGAAATAGAAGAAATGAAAATTGTAAAATTATGAAATGTTTCTTTATTTTTTAATACGTTTTCCGCTATTTATTGTTACCAAAAATCGTAGTGGAGATCTGAATTGCAAGAGAAGGGAGGAGTACTAGTATGAGTTTGACCTTGATATTTGCTTTCGGTACCTGAAATAAATGTATATATTAATGAATGTAAATAGCATGTAAGCTATAAATTGAATAATGTCAAAATAATGAATATAGATTGCATATTTATGTTATTTTATTGTAGTCCAAGTTGGATTAGAACCTCCGTGACATGGTATATAAGGTATAAGATTTGAGGGATTAGGACTCCTATTTTGTTTTTTGGATAAAGTTGTTTGTACATCAGGTGTACGTACATCTGTCTCACATGAATAGTGTGCGCGAATATTTTATTGTGTGTGGGACCCCCTCCATGTGAGAGAGTGTAAAAGATTGTGTGAATGATTATGTACATGTAGCATGATTTTTTTTTTTTATAAAGCTGGAAGTAGATGACCAATTAGATTATATCAGTATTTATGTGTTAAGATTTTTAAAATTTTTTTCCACAATAAAAAAAAATCCAAGAATGAATAGCGACTTCAAGTTGTACATTGCAACTTGGTTATGATTTTTTTTTTTTTTTTTCCACAATAAAGAATTCAAAGAATGAATAGCAACTTCAATTTGGACATGGGCAACTTGCTTAGCGTGTATCTTTGATGACTAAATACAATGAACATCTAGGATAAATTGAATTTGATAAGGAAAAGAAGCCCATTCTGACCGCCTCTTTCCTTTCTACCCACCGGCCACCATAGTCTATAGCCGTGTCGAACACGCATACAACGTTATTGGATGTTGGTGACGTGTCACTTCATTGCTCGGTCCCACCTTTCGTATTTGATCTCGTGGGATTTGTTTATCAAACACGGACTATACTCGTGGTATGGACTTTTTTAGTAATATTATTTATAGTTAGCGATTACAGTAAGATTTGACATGATCTAATCCACTTCGATTTTCTTTAGAATCAAATCGAATAAAAATTTTCGGGTATTTAGTAAGGAAAACCGTTAGTTCTAAATTTAATTATGGATCCAACCTGATATAGTTCCGTTCAGTTCGGTTCGATTCGATTTCATATCATAAATAAATTTCTTAACATTTACAAAAACGATATATTAATCCAACTAAGGCATGTTCAGGTCCACGTATACTAGAAGAAATGTAAAAATATTCAATACGGCAAGAAAGATAGCTGTCGAGATAAAGAAAAACAGGCAAATGCGCGAACTGACGAACACTAGTTATAAATTGTAATTATACATTGAGTGTGAGAAATTATTAAAAAGGAATGAAATGTGATCAAAGTGGAGGAAATTTAATGAATACGACAGAAAAACTCAGGTTACTCAATTTGATTATTTGAAATTTGAATTGCAAAATTGGGATTGGACTAGAAGCAAGAAAATTATATTTTGGGCTCAATTAATTAGTTAGCAAATGAAAAAGTAAAATGATATTTTTTGGGCTCAATTAATAAGTCGGCAAATTTATATAAAAAATTAAAATAATTAACTTATTTAATAAAAAAAATTAGAGAGATTCGATTCTTATTCATTTCTATTTTTGGTCTAGAATCGAGAACTAAACAAAACCCGTCGATTCTAGATTCTGATATCGTTCGGGTATTTAACTTAAAAATAACCGTTCGGTTCGATTTGATTCAATCAGGTTCGAATTAGTTCAGAAGTTTTATTCAACCCTAAATTAAAGTAGTCATCCTATATGACAACTTGTTACTTGAGACATTAATTTTTTCTTAATTTTGTTGTCTCAAATAACAAACTGTCACATATAATGACTATAATAGTCCTTATATGAATATAATTGCACTTCTTTTTCAGGGCTTTTAAATTCTTTTGGCCTGAAGTTTTGTGGAAAAAGGCCAAAAATTGGAGTAATTGAAGCAAGTTTTGCGTCGAGTCAAATAGAAAATTATTAGTGTAATTGTGTCTTCATATGCATGTCGGCGTTTCTTGAAATTTTTATCTTATAACATCATAATAGATATTTTTTTTGTCCAATATGTCGCGTTCATTGAAATCAAGTTCGTGACTTTTGTCATTTGAATAACTACACAATGAAACAAAAGTAAATACGTTCAATTTTTGAAAATATGAAATTTTAAAAGATCATATACGAGGATATGATTATGACTTGCTGATGTGGTAAGAGAACCTTACTTACGATTCTCTTCAAATGTGAGAATCATAAACAAGGTTCTCTCCGAATTAATAGTACACGTAAATTTCAATAACTTTCCTTAACTTTTTAATCACACGTCCTCTGAAAAATTACCTTTACAAAATCTAATCCAAAAATCAGATCCCAAACAAACCCTTTGATGGAATATTTCAAATTGTACTTTGAAATTGGGTTCCAAATTTTGTATACAAAATAAATTCATTTTTATTTACTAATCAAAGATACATGCACAATTTTAGCATTGTAGCTTAATTCGATGAATTTTGCCTCTCAAATATCATATTGAACTACCCTCGTTTAAGAACATTTAGGGAAACGTTTATCTTCAATACACGTCCATATTATACATGAATAATGATTGAATATATATGAATTATTTCTCATGAACCAAAAAATCAAAGCAACGAAGTACTTCAAGATTTTAACAAAAGATGAACAAATAAACAGCTCAAAACATGAGCATATTAATTAAACAAACAGATAGACAAGCGGCAGCAATGGAGACAGGTGGCGCAGATCCCAAACCGCCGCCGCCGGTCATTGCCAGCGAAGGAGCAAGGTCATTGAACTCCGAACTGTCTGCCGCAATCTTTGAGCAAACCACCATAAGAAACAAAACTGCACCAGCGGCATTAGCCTTCATGGAAGCCATTATATTCTCTCTTTATAATCATATGGCTGAAACCAAATTATTTGTTGGCTTTTATTGCAATTTTTTTGTATATTTTTGTTGGGAGATTTAGGCCTCGTTCGGGAGAGATTAAAATCCAATTAAAATTGAAAATATGGCTGTTATTGGGTCCCACTCGTCTAATAAAAGTCAACAATAACGGCTATATTTTCAATTTTAATCTCTCCCAAACAAGTTCTTAGTGGGGCGGGTAAATCCTCCTATGCATGTGTACCATTTGGTTTTGTTGTTTGTAAAAGATGGTATTGTCTGTCATTCGTTTGCATGGTGAAATATAGACACCTGTGGAGGAATTTG